AACTTTCTTGCGCCCTTTGTTTGCTTGATTTGCATATTGCTGAGTTCACCACTCTATGTTTTGTTGCACCCTCTCATGTAGTTGCTTAACCACTTCAGCTTTCTTTTTCTCATCCAAACTAGCTTGTTCATCAATAGGTAATGACAATAAATCCAAAGGAGTGAGTGAATTAAAACCATACGCAACCTCAAATGGTGAACAGTTAGTTGCTGAATGGATGCTCTGGTTATAAGCAAATTCAACGTGCGGCAAACACTCTTCCCAATTCTTCAAGTTCTTCTGAATAATAGATTGCAATAAGGTTGACAACATCCTACTAACCACTTTTGTTTGTCCATCAGCTGAAACAAAATACCCTAAAAAGACAATCTGATTTGTGCAAAACGAATACTTTTTAAGGTTAGCAAACAACTTTTCTTTTCTCAGAACGTCAAGTACCATTTGCAAATGCTCAATATGATCAGTTAAACTCTTACTATATATTAGAATGTCATCAAAATAAACAACTACAAATTTGCCAATGAAAGCACGCAAAACATGATTCATTAATCGCATGAATGTACTAGGTGCATTAGTTAATCCAAATGGTATAACTAACCACTCATATAAACCATGTTTCGTTTTAAAGGCTGTTTTCCATTCATCACCTTCCTTCATCCTAATCTGATGATACCCACTTTTTAAATCAATTTTAGTGAATATGCAAGAACCATGCAGTTCATCTAACATGTCATCTAATCTAGGAATAGGGTGACGATACTTTACAGTAATTTTGTTGACAGCGCGACAATCAATGCACATACGCCAAGTCCCATCCTTCTTAGGCACAGGTAGCACTGGAACTGCACATGGACTCATGCTTTCTCTCACATGCCCCTTCTTCATGAGTTCTTCAACCTGTTTTTGAAGTTCTTTCGTCTCATTGGGGTTGCTTCGATATGCTGGTTGGTTCGAAATTGTTGCACCTGGAATGAAGTCAATCTGATGCTCAATTCCTCTTATTGGTGGTAAACCATTAGGGATGTCTTCTGGAAACACGTCCTTGAAGTCCTTGTTTTTGACATGGCACCTCATGTGAAATATATTGTCATGTTGTACTTCATCATCTTCTTTGGCTTGCACATTCAAAGCTCGCCTGGTGACGAGCAGTTCTCCATCAGTAGAATACTCCACACCATCATTAGCATCTTCTAATGGTGGCATAGATTCATCATCAGATTCACCCTCGGTTTCAATTTCTCCATCTTCTCTCAAGATCATTGTGTGCTTATTAGGACATTGCGATGCAACATGCCCCCTTCCCAAGCATCAAAAACACTTGATGTCTCGGTTTCTGCCTTGCATATTATCTGTTTTACTCTTCTCATTGCTGCCAACTTCTTTTGACTTAGATGCTGCAGTTTCAGGCTTAAAAACAAAATTTTCTTCCTTTTTGCTCCAATTTAGTTTCGAAGAAGATGAGGAACCTGAATTTTGCCTAGTTCTGGTGGTGGCTTCTTTACGCTTGAGTTGCCGTTCTACTTTCATCGCCATATGCACCATATCTTCTGATTCCACATAATGCTGCAGCTCTACCATATTAGCTATATCATGATTTAAGCCATGTAGAAACCGTGCCATAGTTGCTTCTCTGTCCTCTTCCACATTTGCTCTAACCATTGCGATTTCCTTCTCTTTGTGATAATCTTCAACACTTTTGGACCCTTGAGTAAGGCCCTGCAATCATTGGTAGAGATCATGGTAGTAGTGACTAGGAACAAATCGCTTTCTCATCACAGCTTTCATCTCTTCCTAAGTGTCAACAGGATGCTCTCGATTTCTACGTCGAATAAGCACAAGCTGATCCCACCACACCATAGCATAATCAGTAAATTCCACTGCTGTTAGTTTCACCTTTTTCTCCTCAGAATAGTTATGGCAATCAAACACCAATTCCACCTTCTTTTCCTACTCCAAATACACATCTGGATCATTCTTGCCTTGAAATGGATGAATCTTCATCTTAATGCTACCTAAGTCATGATCTTGCCGATCTCCCCAGCTTGTCAGATTTTGCTCTCTTTGGCCCCCTCTACCTCTCATAATTCTGTCCATGCTGAAATTTGAGTTCTGGGCGTCATTGTTGAATGCATCTTTATAATCATCATTAGCATCATTCCTACACAAATTCAGACTTCCATTCTGTGTTTGGTATAACTTGGCTATCCTGCATCTTGCTTCTCCATTTTGTCTTTAATCTCACCAAACATGATGCCCAACCTCTGAAATTGTTGTTGCATTGCTTTGAGCATGAAGGATTCATCCACATGGTGGCTTCTAGTGGTTGATTTGTCATCACCGCTTGACATGATTGAAACCTGCAACAAATGTTAGAAACAGAAGAATAAAAAGGACCTCACAACACTCCCTTACGTGTTTCACTCCACTCTCTCACAGAATGGCACTCAACGCTCGTGTTTTACACATTGTAGAACTTGGCTTTTCTCTCAAGTGTTGCTCACACCTCTTGCCTATTTCTTTCACTCAACTTTCCTTTTTCAGTTCGTTATTGAACTAAACAAGTTCAATTCAAGTTATTTTGCAGCAATCTAACTCCAACAAATCTGCAAGAGTTAAAGGAAACAGAAAGACACAAAGGAATTAAAAGGAAAACCAATAAAAGAACCAAACCTAAACAAATTAAAACGAAGAGATCAGTTCAAGCACTTCCTAGTAGGAATTGACTTGACTATTCCTTAATGCAGTAGGATTTGTAACTTAGGAAGGAATAAACAAAATTGCTATCTCCTTGTTTGAATAGAATTCAAAGAAAAATTTCCAACTCCTTATTGTAGTGGGATTTCTATTCCTTAA